CCCCCCCCCTCCTCCCTCCGACTGACCATCTCGCGGGGCTTTATGGCGTGAGGTCTGATTGACCGCGGCGGCGGCGCGGCTGCGAATAAATCCGAGTGGCTGGAGCCGGGGGGGAGGGGGGTATGGTCGCGACTCTCTCACCTCTCGCGGCGTTGTCTCACTTGCACTCGCTCGCGGGGGTGCTGCTGCCGCGCGCTCTCTGTCTCTCTCCCTCGCACTCACGTGGGGGATGGCCGAGCGCAGCGCCAACGGCCGGGAAATAATGAATCCGCGCCAGCAGCGCCAGTGCGGATCATTGAATGGGCCGCGTAAAGTGGAAAGCGATGACCGGGATGTGATTGCGCTGCTCGTCCGAGCCGTGGCCGCCGCGCCGGGACGTGCCGGGGGTGGGGCAGCGGCCCGGGGTAGCCCCCAAACCGCGCCGCAGCCCAGCACAGTTTGTGCGCAGTTTCAAGCAATAAGTTTTGCAAAATGGTTGCGCACGTCGATATAGTACTTTCTATACCGCGCTGGGCCGGCCAGGCGCCACCACCTCGGGGAGGACGTGAGCATTAGCGACGCTCTGCTCCACCCGCGACTCGGATTTCTTATTTGGGCCGCCGCATCACAACCGCGGTGCATGATGGCGCGCGCGGTCCCAGTGCGGGCGGCGGCGGCGGCCGCCGCTCGGAGGGGAGCTGCGGTAATTGAGTTCCACGCCAAAGCCCCCTGATCGCATGCCGCCGCCACCACCGCAAAGCAGTGCAAGTTTGAGCGCGTGCCTGCGGAACCTCATCCAGCTCTGCTTTGCTCTGCTTGTTGGCTACCGACGACGGGGTGGCTGGAGCTGCAGCAGGACGCCGCCGCGCCGCCACCGTCCGGGTCCTCTCCGCCCGCCGTCCGCCACCGCGACGTCCTGGAGGGAGTCGTCCTGGCCACTGGCCACGTCCCATGAGGGGCGTGCGCGGCTGGTCGCCTACCCTGGCTGGCGCTGCTGGTGCTGCTGGCGCCCCTGCCCCGCACGCGGCGCCGGCTCACTTTGCTATTAGGGTGCGTGCGCAGCGCGTGCCTGGCGCGTGCACGTGCACGCCGCTGCTGCAGGCCCCGCCCCAGCGATGGCTCATGTGGGGAGAGCCTCTCCTTCGTCTCGGCTACACTTACTCCAGCTCCAGGGGGAAGCCCCGCGGTGGTGTTGACTCGCGCTGAGTGGGCGGATGTGGCGGTCCCAGGCACTTCCCCGTTCATCCGGAGTGGACGGCCCTATCCAGTTTCCAAACTCTACTGGGCAGTCCTGGTGGGCGCAGCCTGCCTCGAAAACTAGTAGGCCTCAAGGCAAATAACGAACAGTGAAACATTTGAGAGAAGACCAAAAATTTGTTTTTAATGTCGATGGTTCGGTTTCTTCATAGTTTGACCTTTGCAGGTCTCCGATTTGACGGCTGTGGGGAATCTCGTCAGCGAACTCTTCGGCACACATGGATCTGATGATATTTTCCCTGCTGACTGCATTAGTTTACTATTTGGAGGCACAGCTGGCTGATTGGACTGGCAGATTATCCCCGAAGACTTGTTGTCTATGGCATTTCTCATTGCACTGCTGCCCCTAGTATAAACCTCATTGGACCTACAACAAATGGTGCAGTTAAATGTGTGTTGTTGAATTAACATGTTAAGTAGGGGTTAAGTAGGGGTTGTATTACAGTTGAAATTTTTATCACCTGACACTGCTGGGTTTCATCACTTCACTTGGTTCATTTTCAATTTCAGGTGGTTTATCGCAAACATCAATGGTACTTCGGTAACTGCAAGCTGATTGAGTTCTGGACAAGGAAACAATGTTTTCCTCTTTGGCACAGTCTCCAGAACCAAACCCTAAAGCACCTGAGGTAGACTTTCTAATCCTGATTCTGTCTTTGGTTGCACTGCTGATAGGTTGGGCTACATCAAGTTTCTCAGAGCCAACAGCACAGACAATACTGGTGTCTGGGCTAAATATGATAAACAAACATTAAGTTGTGTCAAAATAAAGATCACAATAATAGTGTTAGCCAGATTTTTCTCAATGCATTCACACCTACCCAGGTTCTACCACAGTTGACTGGAATGGACACTTCCATGTGAATATCGCGCCATCATCACTAACACTGATTAAGTACTTGCTGTCAGGACTGAGGCGAACCGTTGTGATAATGCCGGCATGCCCTATACCAATGTGTGTGGTGTAGCCTTCATTATAGTTCCAAACCTGCAGCAGAAAACAAAACATGTTTCTTGACTATGACTGCAAATTCAACTGTACATGAGATGCAAAATCAAATAAAACTTGTACCTTGACCAAAAAGTCATTGCTTCCTGTAACAAAGAAACTCCCATCTAAACTGATGTCAAGTGTATTGAGAGCAGCAGCAGTAGACCCCTCAAGATCTCTAATCAGCGAACCATCATAGCATTCCCAGTATTGAATCTTCCGGTCAGTGCCTGCATCCAAACAAGGAAGAAATACAGAAATTTCCAACACTAATATTTTAACTATACAACCAAAATAACAAATATAAATTCTTTTTGCAAATATATTAAGTAGGTAGTTATTTTAGAATGCGCTAAGTGTATCTATGAAGTAGATATCACCATAAGCACTAAATAGATACTCACCAGCCGTTAAAACTTGACAACCATCTGGATTAAATCGGCACGCCATGAAGAGAGAATTTGCAAAGAGGATTTGAAGTCTCACGAGGCGCCTGAGGAGGACAATGTATATTAAAACAGTTATCTTTGCATAAATAAATGCAATAATATTTCTATCCAGAGGTACACAATCATCTTTGTTCTTTTATATCTGATGAGCACTTACACTATGTCCCAAATTATACATGATCCATCAGTGCTTGCACTGACTGCTTGTTGATTATTAGAGCTGACATGTATATCTGACACAGGACCTTTATGATCCTTTAAAATAGCAGAGAGTTTATGGAGACTAGAACTTATTTTCCAAATACGAACCTGTAAGGTAATACTTTTAATTGTAATAACCAAGTTGATACAGAGTGTTCCAGAATGAATGCAAACCTAAATGCTGTCAGAACTTAAGAAACTTACTTGACCCTCTCCACCACCAGAAACAATTGTAGAGCCATCACTTGTGAGATCCAAGGCAGTCACTCCTTTGTTGTGAGCATTTGGGATAGTATACATTAACTTCCCAGATTGAGGAGTGAAAGACCGGATGCATCCATCATTCCATCCTACTCCCCCCAAAATTATGTTATATTACTCAAGACCAATTTTTTTTAACACTTTAATATTAAACTTAGTTTAATTGCTACCTGATTCTCAACCTACCACTAATGATTGATTTTCCATCAGCTGAAAATTTAACAGTTGAACATGTAAAATTGGGGACACTAATTCGCAGTAGCTCTCTGCATGTCTCTGTATGCCACACCCGGATATCATCCTTACTTGCAGTAGCAAAAACTTCAGCATAGTTTCTGCAAAGGACAAACAAACAAAAAACCAAAGTCAAAGTGAGCAATACATATTTTCCTGATGGAAAGGGCAAATATTATTTCTTGCAGACATTTCTATTTAGGACTTACTTTGGGAAAGCAATATCATAAATGCATGAAGTGTGGCAAGTAACAATCAGACGAACATTGAAAGTGCAAATATTTATAAGATAAATTTCACACAAGTCATTTCCAACCATAATTTCTTGGTCTCTGAACCTTTGCAATGAAGTCACAGCCGAGTCCACAGAAGTGCTTTTAAGCTGAAACCAACGCATATGAATGAAACTAAATACCATTCTGTTCTCAGGTATTGTAGTAAATTACAAGTGCATTGGTGTGTGTCTGTACTGTTGGTGCAAACATTATCCTTAATAGTTATATTGAACCCTGTACATGACTCACAACACTCAATAGGGGGTATGAGGGGGATTTTAACCCTTTGAAATTGTTTTCATTTTCTTTAACCAGCTCCACAACGCCGTTGCCAGCACCAACAACAAGATTACGGACCCCATTCAATCCATCAAGAATAATTATGTCTCGCACTCCTGAGAAACCGAATTTAATACCACCACTCAGTAAAATGTCCAAGGCATGGCAGTAGTAGTATGTATGGCAGGTGTATCGTCATTGATTCATTGAAATCATACCTAAACTATACCGTTCAGCCTCTGCGTTTCTTTTCTTTGACTTTGGAATTTTCCCAAGACAAACTGTCATGTTAGGTGTTCGAACAGGCTCTGTTTTATTAGTGTCCTCAGGAAAATAAAGGGCCACTTTAAGAATATCTCCAGTCAATGTCCCACAATATGCAAATTCATCTTGAGTGTCAATCTGCAAGGTAAACATCTTATAAATATATATGCATATCAAAAATTTAATAAAGAAGGAAAGTAAAATTACAGAACTTACAGTCACACAGTATACATTTCTTTTTATTTTACTGACTTGAACATCAACAGCTCTCACAAACCTCTTTTCAGGATTTACTTGCCAAACTCGTAAACTTCCCTCCCCAGCAGACATGAAAACTGAAGATCTGAGGTTGCTATGCTTTAGAGTAAGAGCATCACCAGCTGTAGCTCGAGTTGCAGGATAACCTATGTTAATTCAAAAATTAATTCCGTGCATAAATCAGACAGAACAGCAGTCTGGCACAGTTTGGTGTGTTATTTTATAAGAAATAATTTACCACACATGGGTTCCAGGGATGGTATGTGGGTCACCACTACATTACCATCATCTCTTCCACCCAAGGAGAAAAGATATGTAGAATCAAAAGAAAAATCAAGTGCTTCAACTCTCACTTTGTGAATATCATGTTTCATAAGAGCAGTCCTCGTATCAAAATCCCAAATAATGACAAATGCCTGAAAATAGATGGAAGTAGCAAAAGATACACCTTAAAAAACTTGAAAATTCCTCCAGCAAGTAATATGTGAAAAACTATCTAAAAATAAAGGTCTACAAGATCACAGTTGATACTCTGAGAAAATATACTGAACAATGTCAACATATGTTTCAAGAAATAAATTAAAACGTGAGATACCTTGAAACCCATGTGATTGATTTGACCTGAGGCAACATATTTGCCATCCATAGAGATAGATAGAGCCGTAATGACATTTGTGTGTCCCTCAAGGAAATCCTGTTTCCGTGAATCCCAATGCACCACAGCAACCTTGCAGCCAAGTGGGTATAGTATATGTTCCCCATTAGGATGTGCTTTCAATCCATGTATAGTTCGACCTGAAAGATATCTCGAGTTAATATAGCCAATGTCAAAATATTAGGATAGTTGCAAGAACCACAAAAACAATCATCAAACAACTTTAAAATAAACACAATATTTCAGCTGACCGTCAAAACCGATAAGAGAGAGTAATTCTAGGTCATCAGTTTGATCAACTTGAGGTGAACCCATGTCAAATTTTCAATAAATCTACGTTAAAAAGTTAAATGTTCCTGTGACGGGCAAGCACGAGATTCTATTTTCATGGTATACAGTAAACAAAATGAAGGTTGCCATGGTTACTCACGACTTATTTACAGTTCAGCAGGCCGCTCAAGTAAGAACCCGAACGGAGATAACTTTCTCAACCCAAACTTGTCCGTTTTTCTTCCGCGATATACAGAGTAGTTCATAAACCTTCACAAACAGTTAAACTTGAAAAGATTATTTGAATAAAAATGAATGACTTTAGTTCTAGTCACCAAAGTATCTAGCTTGAAATTTTTGCGAAACAAAACAAAGTGTTTACAGTGTTGGCAGCATTTCTAACCGCCAATGCCCGATGCCGGTGCGTTGCGTATTGATAGCTGGAGAAAAGCCTCAGTGCTTAGTACTGAAATTGTAATTGATAATTGATAAAAAGAAAGTACTGCCCACCGCCCAAATTCTTAATGGATGTCCCAGTATGGTCTACATCTCAGGAGGAACGGTTGAAATCGTTCAAGTATTGGCCTTACAAGAGAGGTCCATGTCGTCCAGAAAAGGTATTTTGAATTTCGATTTCAGTGTTTTCGTTTCTTAGCTAGTTTTTTCTTCAATTCGACTTTCGGTTGACGCCATTCACACTAGCTAATTTGCCTCTTTTGACTTGCTGTAGATGAATAGTCAATATTTCATTTAAATACGCACTCTCTGTAACCCTTTTTCCTGCTTTTCCCAGGTTAAAATTTCATGTCACTTGTCTCAATTTACATTACACATACATCTTGGATAACTTATAGTCACTCAAATTTTCTGGATTATATTTATTCTGCGTTACTAATACTGCATCATTTGTTTTCTTATAAACTCAGATGGCTGAAGCAGGTTTTTATTCAATTGGAAGTAAATCAGAACCAGACCTTGCGAAGTGTTACGTATGCTTGAAGGAATTGGACGGATGGGAGAAGGATGATGATCCCTGGTAAGACATATTGACTTCATTTTTTTCCAATTAATCCTGTATGTTTTCCTAATCATAACTGTTGATTTCAGGTCCGAGCATAAGAAACACGCTGCCTTATGCCCATATGTTGTTTTAAACAAAAGTCCTGATCAACTGACTGTGAAAGATATTCTAACCCTAGAATGTGAAAAACAGAAGAAAATTCTTGTAAGTGCCTGTTATATGAGTCATGTGGTGGGTTTGTGTGATGTTTTATTCATTTTATCAATATTTCAGGTACTCAGACACGATGAAAAAATTAAAATGCTTAACGAAATCCAGAAAGCTGTGAGAGCTGAGCTAGATAAGAGAAATGGCAAAGAAAACAAGCGTAAAATTTCCAGAGCACCTTCCAAGAGGACAAGTAAGAAGGAATGAAGTTTTTAATCTCTTTTGGCTGAAATTAGGATCTCCAATGTGATTTAGTAGATGGTGACAAACTGTTGGTCCTCAATTTCTGATTATTTTTATCTTGGACAGCCTGTTAAATTGTAAATAACTTGTGATTTTTTAAAGAATAAATTGTATTTTTATTGAACAGAAAATTACTTATTTAACCAGATGAAATAGATTATAATTGTATTCTTGAGCCAAAATCGAGAATGGTTTAATACATGCCATTTAAAGAACTTAAAATAACAATTTGTATAATCTCTTGTAATGTGTCAAATTTGCACCATAGCAAATTTACAGGATATAGATACACTTGTTATAAGCTAAGTTTGGATGAAGTAATTCAACACCCTATTAAAATAGTAAAATAAATAAACAAAAATGTAAACACATAATTTTAGTGCTATAGATGCTGGCAGCTAATAAATTAATTAAATGATCCAGTACATTCGTCAAGTTTCAGTGGATCCATATTATCATCAATTTCTGCAGTCACTGTCTGATTCTCAGGCGAGCTCATGACAGGAACACTTGCATACTGATCAGATGGCAAAAGTACTGCTGATTGTACAGCTGACTCTAAAAGGGATGTATCTGATTCAATGTCATTCAATGTTGATTCACTGCAAAACTTCTTAGATTGAGGGGAGCAGTAGTCTTCCCCCACAATACTTTTCGGTAGTGAACTTTCACTGAAAAAGTTTGACGGGGCATATAGTGGAATGGCGGGTGGTGGCCCAGCCCGAAGTGCCTCACATGCTTCGAACTCAGTAAGAAGAGTTTCGTGACTTTTCAGAATAGGCTGGGACAGAGACTCGCCGTTGACAGTTACAGTGGCAATTTTCAGTTCATCCTGGTTAGAAAATTCATGCTGAGGAGTTGCGTAAGGTGTACATAAGGTAGGCATAGAGAGAACCTTGGGGCAATCAGTAGAATGGGAAACATCAACAGTCATTATGGGGGCAAATGCTGGCTGAGCTTCTTGAGAGTGTTTCTCAGGAGGTGAAATGGCAGATGTACATGCTTCATTCAATGCTTCTTGAGTGTGTTTCTCAGGAGGTGAAATGGCAGATGTACTTGCTTCATTCAAAGCAGGATATTCATGTTTTGAAGAACTATGAGGATGTGTGATTGTACCTGCTTTGTTAGTTGAGCCACCTCTGCCTTTGCCTCTTCCTCCTCCTCCACCTCTTTTTTGCTTGGGCGTTTTGAATGGACCATCTTCAGCATAATTCACTTGCCCTCTGCTACGGCTTAAACTTAGACTCCTTGTTTCTCTCCTGGGTGGTAGATCTTGAGTACTACTAAGTGTCATTTCCGTTTCAATTTCTAGCTTCATCTTCTGCTTTGAAGTTCCTTTGTTCTGGACTGATGAACGACGCTTTGTTGTTCGTGGCTTCGACTGGTCATCACAGGTACTTCCCACTGTATCATGATTATTCCCAGCCAAGTCTTCATTAACTGGTTCAAACGCTACTGCATCCCTAGAAGGCAATGGGTCTGCTGAGTTAGAGGATTCATTTTGAGACTCCCTTGAAAATTGATCACACATTTGTATGTCCTCCTCATTAGGCAACACCTTAGGCTCAAGGCAGTTTATAGAATAATGATCTTGAGAACTACTTGAGACTAAAGATTTAACAGGTTGCTCTTGGACCAATTCAACAGCATTATTCCTATCCTCTGGATTTGCCAAAACTTCTGGAGGTTGTGTAATTTGCCCTGCTATCATATTATCATTCAAGGCCCCGGTGTTCAACCTGCTGGCCCCATCTTTGAATTCAAGTGGAAACTGTAAAGAATGAATAGTTATAGTTTGGAGTTTAATTTTTAAGTTGGAAATATTTTTGACATTTGCCAGATAATCTCACCTTGAAGATATAAAGGAAAAACTCTTGCATTGTTTGCCATTGTGCATCAGAAGGAAGAGGGTCCAATAAAAATAAAAGATGGCCAACTGATGACTTAACTGAAACCATTACTGTTTCAGTATCAAATGGATCCAACCTAAATAAAATCATAATAAAAATAA